CTCACCTCAGCTTTTTTTTTTTTTCAACCTCTTGCTGTATTTCCTTTTAGGGTGCCTTACTCTGAGTATATTTTTGTGGGTAAAATTCCAGCCTCTTTGAAATATACATGAGTTTTAACATGTTACTAAATAGAAACTAAGACTCTACTAAATATGAAGGGGTCAGGGATACACAGCTCTGCCTCTGGGAGTTGTCTGAACGATGCCAAGTAAGTTGCAACAATTCACAGCAAATTTACAATAAAACGCACTTTTCAGAAGAGCATTTGCTGTCACTACAAAAGAAGATTTTCTAAGCTGCAAACAATTCATCCACCCACCTTTGAAGGCTAGGCCCATTACGTTATATAATGGAAACTCTCAGTTCATAGTCAGAGTTAACTTGTGATTTAGCACACAAGACTAAATACTTCTAACCTGTGTCCTTGTCCCATCAGAAACCAGCACGTGCACACACACACAGATTTCTATCGTATGCAATCAACTATAGTGGTGCATACAATAAAACGAGATGTTGGCTTAAGAAATTGATTCATCAAACCTAGATCCAGCTCTGCAGATCCTCTTACAGGGCACAAGCTGACAAGAACAGAGCCTTCATTTAAGATCGCATTTGACTACTGTGCCCAGATAACACCACTATGTAATGCCACCAAGGTCAAAAGCACCTAGGTACTCCAGACAGTTTCTGAATGTGAGTCATCACTGTATGGAACACCTATACATTATAAATACTATTGAAGAACAGTACTGCATTCAAGCAAATTTAAGAAATGCAAGATTACAGCTGTTTAAACATAAATTTTGCTGATGAAATAGAGACACCAGTACTGAAAGAGTAAACTATTTATCAGTTACAGATCACAAGTGGGGCCTTCACCTTCTCAGAGTTGCACCTATGTTTTATCATCTGACAATGAGGACGTAGTTAAGAGAACATGGTCTACAAGAATTCCACTTGTTTTAATACTGTGAATTAAGAAATAACTATTACTGAAAATAACAATTTTCTAAACCATAGAAAGTTTAGAGACAATTCACATTTATAAGTGGAATGAACTTTATAAGGCAAAAATAACTATATCCACAAATTGTATTTTTTCCCTACTAAAGCATACTGGAACACTCTACAAACAAAAGGCACAGTCGCCAAAGTATCGGTCACATGAGGAGTTGGCCAACAGAGCCCCTTGCATAAGGGCAGCAAATTAAAGTCCTTCACAAATACAGAATATTCACCTTCTCACAGGTTGAAAGGACAGTGACAGCTGTTAGCAGACACCCAGCTTTTCACAAAGGTGAAAGAAAAATTTGATTAAATCACCTTCCTCCCCAGACTTTTTTTTAAACTTGACATTGAATGTGGAAAAAAGCCTAACAACAAACCCACAGCATCTGCACCTCTGAAACATTCATAACAAAGACATTAATCTTCCCACATTTAATCACTTTACCACTTGCACTTGCCATGCTGTGTGACAGTGTTCTGAAGAGACAGAGTTTTTCCTGGACCACTTAACCACAAATTTGCACGTAGCTCCCCCAAACTGCATACTGCACCAAAATTCATCATCAAGAAAGTTCATTCCCTTCAATATACCAATCATGCAGCCACAGCTTTTTCCACTCAAAAGACAAAGACCGAAGTACTGAGGTTAGTTTTAGCTCAGTTTGCTATGTAATTCCCACCACTTGCTTTGAGGGCTTCATACCACACAAAAGGACACTGGTGGGAAGTGTAGCACACACTAGCATTTTACTAGCTAAAACACCCTTCAGAATAGCTGTATGTGCCATGCTCTGTGTTCTTCCCCATTACCCAAGAAAGGAAAAGGGTGAAAGAGATCCAAGCATGTTTTTACAGCCTATTGTCCCCAAAGCATAGCTGACTGAAGGTACAAGTTGGGTCTGTACATCAGTACACATAATCTTTTACTTACCACTTACATTAGCTAAGTATTTAGAAAACATTGCCAATTTCAAGAACCAGACATGAAATAAGTATCTGCTATACCCTCCTACCTGTTAGCCCTTAATGCTACTCTTGAACCAGGGTGAAAAAACAAAATGGTTTGGTCCCATGACTGTAATTTGTCCTTCACCCACCACTTCTTCCTCCAGCTCCTGAATGTTTCAAGTATAACAGGAAGAAAGACTTCTGCAGAGGTTGGGAAGATTGACAAACCACAGAGCAGCCACTGCTGCCCTGTACAGTGTGCTTACACACAGGAAACTCACAGACGGTTACATGAGACCTTCAGGTTTTGCTCTGTAACACTGGATTGCTTGGAAGCCCCAGATGATCTCGTTATCCCAAGCATTTAGCCTCATACATGATACAAATGCTGCATTAGTACCTCTAATAATTCTGCTGGTTATGGGTCCATTTACAGTCACAGGGCCAATCTTAAGATGAAACTCGGAAGTCTAGATTCAAGTGAAATATCAATAGGAACTCTGCAATAGGATTTGCAAGCCAGAGGCACAGAATACACTCATATCACAGCACAAGGCTAAAAGTCTGCCTTGGGAATAACTTCTATGTTGCCGAAGGGATTTTATTGCTTCTGAAGTATGAGGCTTTCTGCAACCAGCTTTTTCTTTTTCCAGGAACGAACAGAAATTCTACATAAATCCATGCTCATTAACATTCTACATGCTCTAAAGAGCAAGCTCAATTTTACTTCTCCTTTGCTACATTTAAAGGGGTGAATCATGAATACACATCCAGTCTGGTAGATCAGCACATCAGAGATACAGGGTGCAAGTCAAGCCTGATCAAACAACGCTAATCTTTCTAGCAAATTTCAAATTTCTAAACTACAGTTGGAGACACTTGTTACTGCCTCAACTTTCAGTCCATCAAATCATATACCAGTCACATTGTAAAACAGGCATTTGTTGCTTACAACACCTGTTCCTAAAGAGACAGTCCTTGACTACTTAAAACAAATACTAATTTCTAAGGTAAATGGAAATTTAATTTTGTTTAATAAAAATCATGCCATGATCAACAAGAGGAGGTAGCATATATTAAATACAGGTTGCTTGCGTGGCCTCCTTGCCCAGTGAAAGCGAGAACATGGAGAGGGAAATCAGTATTTTGGCCTAAATAGTCAAAGCACTAGAAACCAATGTGTTTTCAAAGCTCTGCCCAATTTAAAATAAAGCAACTCCTGCCAATTTTGTATCTAGAATCATTTAATCTGTTGGTGCAACCCTCTTCCTCAGCAACCTGCTACATTTCTCAAAGACGATAATTTTACCAACAAAATTTTCAGGGGAAAAAAAAAATGTTACAAAAGCAGTTTGTAGCTATTACAAAGACAAATATATGACTGCACACACACCTGTAAAGGTTACATAAAAAAGAAAGAACTATTTATAAGCACTATACTACTACCGCTGTTCTTGCACAGAAACAACTCAGTATCGCTTGCACGCTTTTAAGAATGCAAAAATAACTAGGTCCATCTTGAGAATTCAGATTTTCCTGTGTCATAATTGTTATACTGACTCTTACTTTAATTCCACTCAAACTATTTCATCTCCCCCCAAAGCATCCAAGATGCAGAAAAAGACAACAACTGCAGATTTCCCAGAAACATTCCCATGCAGCAGAGCTGTTTATATACTGATGAATCAATATAACATCACTACAATATTTCATCAGTATGTATCACCCTTCTTTCTCTGGAATATACAAACATAGCACAATAACCTCTCAGTAAGCATTTGCTCCCTAATTTACTGTCTAGTTCTAACCAGATCTAGCTATAACGCGACTACAATGTCACAGCAAAACGGGATGCTTATTTAACTGCCAGAATAGGCCAGTAATGCATCCAGAAAGGACAGCAATTAGCACATCTAAAATAACCATTTCTATACAGAGACAGTGTAAAAGCTTAGATATGTTTACATCTTAGCTCACAGTAGTTACTAGCCAAACACATATCCATACAGGAGCAAAATCCTGCAGCGCTGTGCAATCCAGATGACCCTCTGCCACTCATTCTTGACTTCTCCATTCAAAACACTACCTTCGTCTTCCTCCTCCCCCCTTCCCGAGCACAGATTTGTCCAAAGATTTTTAATGTCCCTCCATTAAATTAACAACCGCTTGCACAGTCTCCTGTCCACTATTACAAGCCCTCAATAACAGGTTTTGCTCCATGCTCCACCATCACGCTGCCAAACATGGCTGCATCATGTCCTCTTTGTGATTGAATATGTATATCTCTTTTGCCTTTCAAGACTTCTTTTATCTGCCTACCCTTATTTTCCCAGATTAGCAAGGGACCATTTCAAATCGCTATTATCCACTTTTCATTCCTTTTAACAGTTTGGTATTTTCCAGTAATGTTCCACCGTAAACCAAACGCATTTATACTGTCCAGGTTCACTTCAAAAACAATCAAGGAGCTTTACACATTGAAACCCTCCCCACCATGAAAACGTACTTATTTACACACGACAAAAAACTCTCCCAGTAAAAACCTCCGTCCTTCAAAACAAGCGTGGAGAGAAACCCCTTAACAACAGCGAAAGGAAATTTTATCATCTGGCTTTCCTTCCCTGCAGCTCCCTCTCCTGAAATTGGACCCCCTTGTATATCAATCCACCTCGGAGCCTCTCCTCCAGCCTCTTGCAGAAGCCACACACAAAACCCACCCCAGCCTTTGCCTGAAAGCCTCCCTCCGCTCTAAAACCGCCGTCGCTTTTTTTCCCCCCCCCCCATGCTGTTGAGCGGGTTTTTATTTCACTGAAGGAAAATAAATAAAACTGCTGGCATTTCCCCGCGGAGGCTACACGTAAAAGTTTCTAGAAAGGGGGAACCCCCCCCTTCCCCCGCAGAGAGCACCCCCGGCCGGCCCACACCGGCCCCTCCGCACGGACCGTTATGACACGGGGCGGGCGCGGCGCTCCCCGATAACCGCCGCAACGGCGGCCCCGCTCCCTCCCCTCGTCCCGTCCCGTCCCCTCCCTCCCTCACTCACCCACAGCTCCGTGCCCCAGCTCATGGCTCCGCCGCGCCGCCGAGGGCCGGCGCTGAGGGGCGGGCGGGGTGGGCGCTCGAGGTCTCTCTGTCCCCTTGGTCGGGTCGCCTTCCACCTTCGCTCCCCGCAGCACGGAGGGGCCGAGCCCCGGCGGGGCGAAACGGGGAAGGGGGTGCGGAGAGGAGCGGGATGGGGACGAGCGCTGCTCACCGCCGCTCCCGCCTCATCGCGCCGCAAAATGGCCCGAACGGCGCCGCGCGGGGAGGAGGTGGG